GGGGATCCGCGATCACACGAGGCGCACCGGAAATGAAGCGCCGAAGATCCGAAAGTGGGAAATGAAGCTGCTCAAGAACTGATGCCATAAACGACATGCTATGGACATAACAATCTCGCGCCGGGCATCGCTTCGAACTTCCTCGGCGCACCGAGTCTACTGGCATATATGCGTATAGGTCGGGACGGCATCGTTTCATAGATGAGGACCTGTACATTGAGTAGTAGGGCCAAGTACCTGGCTCTAAAGGACGATACAGGCAGTCTTCACTAGTTCGCATGCAGTCTATTTCCGCACCGTCGCTTATGCTCCTCCTTCCAATGCCTATAACCAGACGTGAGCGAAGGTGATAGTTCTTGCGATACATCGCACTTACTGCACCTGGCATAGCTTGGAACAGTACTTGACCTCTCCGCAGCCCTTACATGTTTTGAGACGCAGAGAGTCGGGCGGCTTGTTCGTGTGGTATTCGCAGCGGTTCAACGAGCAATGTTGCTTGGCGTCACGCAGAGCAAAGCGCATACTCTCGTTGACCATGTCAAGATCGCACGCATTACCGATCAGGATCCAATCCTGCAAGATATCTTGGCACGGTTGACCACGCTCGTGTGCAAGCTGTAACCGTTTCAAGCAAGGCCACCACTGTGACGGCATACGCGCGAGCATCTCTTTTACGCGTTTTCTCTCGCGACGATCATGGGTCTCCGGTTTATCCCTCGTACTGGCAATGAGTTGAACATAGTGAAAGATGTACCGCTGGAGAGTGTGTTTTCTGTGGTCTGTCCGACGCTCAGAAACACATAGCGGGCCAACATGACACACCACTCACTGAAGCTTGTCAAAGATCCTGTGGCCGGCGTCCAATCCGCAATGATGTCCAGCCCGCGTGAGACGAAGTCAATGATATCGCCACCGCGCACGAGCGGGTATTCTGCCCTTTGGCATTCTTTGTATTCATCTGGAACCGGAAGTCCGACCGGGAAATTTGTCACGAACCTGTATAAGATCATGATCGTCAGACGGACCTGTCTCAGTGACCGCGGACTGTCAAGACACCTCACATGAAAAACATAAGGACTGTTTCCCAGAACCAATGCTTCCTCGTGCGCCCGTAGAAGTTACAGACCCTGACGATGGGGCGAAAGACGTCGTAATTTGCAAGTTCGCCGCATAGGGCTGGAGTCATGGAGAGGAGAACGACGATTTGAACACCATCGATAGGGAAGCCGGGCTCGTACTCCGCCGGGTGCCTCTGGCTCAGCATGGTCTCAAACTGACTGAAGAAAGATTTTGCACCAATACCTTCGACGACGGCCTCGCGTGCTATGCGCTCTGTGAACTTCGGACCGGATACACGATGAGACAGAAGGCGAGATGTAAGCTGATGCAATGCGAGATCTTTTCCAGATGGAGTAGATTGCGAGTTCCCGGAGGACCAGACGACCAAGGCGACGTGAGGCATGAACGTTTCTTCGAAGCCCACGTACTCTAGCTCAAGAGCGCGCTCTTCAGGAGTGCAATTCCTGAGGAAGCTATGGAATGGCGATTAGTAAGTTCAGACTAGAGATGGCCGAGAAGCGTGAGCTCACTTGACGTGACCTTCGTAGAGATAGGAGTACCACTCAAGCAGCCGACTATACGGCTCCGGATAGTTACCCAGTATATCGTGAGCGGGGTCTACGGACATGCTGCCGTAGCCCTCGGCGTCGCGCTCACTCTGCGGGCGGGGCTTGATAAGGCCACGATTCTCCCAGAGATGTGCCCACAGTCGCTTTGTGTGAGAGAAGATGTGCGCATAGACACTCTTCTTCCCTCCACGATCAAAACTGTTAATCCAATAGTTCCGCATCCAAAATAGAGCTCCAAATCCCCAAAGGATATGGTCAACGAGGGCCTGAACTATGCTTTCAACGTGCCGGGAGTTGCTAGATGGGCGGAGATCTTACCGGAGGAGAATGCAAAAAGTTCTCGTTTATGATGATATCGACGTAGATGTCGATGATCCCGGCTTCAGCGGCATTGGAAGGCTGAGCCATAGACCAGAAGAGTCGAGGGTCATCCTCTGGCTTAAGACGAGACACCCCGGTTTTATAATGGTAAGAAGCAATGAAGGAGTATAACTCGATCGCAACCGACAAGAGGTTCGCATAGACCTCGGAAAGCTCAGGGGTGCCGGCGAGGCGGACGCGCCAGTAATCCTGATAGAGATCGCGCAGCACGAGCCGATTGTCCACTCTCGCCTTGAGTTGAGGATAAGGGCATGGACGATCGGTATGATCTACGGAATGGGCCACTTCTGACGATTCCGACATTTCAAAAGACTCGGTCTACGTCGATGATGGGGGGAGGAAGCAGGTCGTTTCTGTCGTTTCTTAGCGTGCGTGTGAGCCCTCTTCTAGGGTCCACGCGTAAGTCCACGTGCGTCGCGGCGAACAGCGTCTGAAAGTGAACACGCGCGTGAGTTGGTCGCCTCTGTCCCCCATCGGCCTATTCGGGGCACGTCACGGCCGTATCACTACGTGAACTCTGTTTCAATTGAGCTTGGCCGGCTCACTTGAAGTCACCTCGAGATCATACTAAAGGACTATAGTCAGCTTTTTTCAAACATATCGCTCATCCGAACTTGCGCCATGCCAGACGCCGCTACTGTTGACCTACCGAACCTTCAACTGACTGATGCACGATCATTCCTCTTACCATACTTTACGCCTGCCAATAATCGACGCGTACGCTCCATCAACATCGGACTGGCCGCGAACGGAGCGCCCGATGAGCTGGAGGGCCTCCTTGCTGGCAACTTCCCTAAACTCCACACCTTGAGCCTTCTCTGTTGGGAACCTGAACATTATGGACTGGCACTGTCCAATCCAAAGGATATCATCTGGGTCGAAGCTCTAGAGATATCGCGGGCTCCTGCTCTGACTCGTGTTGACTTGCGAAATTGTTTGCCGCCTTGGAACGCAAACATCTATTCGCAGCTCACACACCTTGAAATACGAATTCGTGGCCGCAATGTTCTTGTCAGCGAGCAACAGCGGCCCACTCACGAAGCACTTCTTTCGGTCATCACCTCGATGGACGCAATCGAGGAGATATACCTGGACGTTTTCCCAAACTACCCGAACGCGGGGGCAGAACCTGAGCCCGTTCATGTACCATCCAGATGCAAGCTTATCACGCTACATACCTCTGACCCAAATCTTAATCGACATTGCTGCCGACTGGGCGCCTCTTTCGTTCTCCCACCAAAAGTCGTGTTCATCATCAGGCAGGCTAGCGGGAAGGACGCAGAACTGGCCGTTCGTCACTTCGCCGGGCCGTCCCGTCCTCCAAGTGCCCTTAGTTTCAACTCGGGCGGCGATTATCGGGTAGATGGAACTCTCTGCGGCCAAGTGACCATTCCCCTCAACCCCGCTCGTTGGCTCAAGAAGCCCGAAGCCCTAGCCGAGAGGACACCGAGGGGCTTCGTCTCCATACAGTTCGAGCTTTACGACGTCCCGGATGATATCAAGGAGGAATACGATGATTATTGCCGCTACACCATGCTTGAGAGTCTTTGTCAGGTAGACTTCAGCGAGGTGAAGGTACTGCGAATCGAGAACATCTGGGAGGATAGAGACATCCTGCGGTTGTTCGGTGTGGACGAGTCGGAAGGGGACGTCTTTGACGAGAAGCTATTGGAACCCCCGATTCTCGCGGATGCGACCGAGGTCGAAGTCGTCGTCCTGACCATGGAAGGGTATCTGCCTATATTGGCTGATTTGTTACATGCCGGTCGCCATCCTTTCCCCAAGTTTCATACTATACACGCCCCGGAGATGTGATACCTAGATGGAAGCCAGCATACTTACATTGACTATGTACTGACTGCGTCCATTTCTCCATGCTATCCATTTGACGAGAACATGTCAATGAATCCAGATCATACGTAGACAACATACAAACATGACATACCCAGAAGGCCCCATGCAAGTTGATTCGAAAGCTGATCGTATCATGTTCAGTGATACCACGGTTTCGGCATCTGCCGTACCCCACTTGTGCCACACATACTCGTCTGAGACGCAACTTCCTCCTGTCCACCATCAGGGTCACATTGTGGACTGCGTTCTCTCCGCTGCTATCAAGCACTGGCACTACAACACCGTCCCGTAATGTGAGTGTTCAAGTTACAGGACAGGGCCCGAACTTGCCCATATGAGTAGCAATTGGTCATAGCGAAACTGTGCTGACCATCAGTTCTAGCCTGGCAACATGTCGTTAGGAGATACAGAAGGCCCAGTTGATATCAACCTGCCGAACCTCCAGCTTGGCGACGCGAAGGAACAACTTGCATTGCTCTTCACACCTGCGAACAGACCTCGTATCCGCTCAATCAACGTTGGACTTGCCGCGTACGGAGCACCTACGCTTCTAGCCCCTTTCTTGACAGGAGACTTTCCACGACTTCAAACTCTTACTGTCGACTGCCGGGAGCCACAGTGGTACGAGGTTGACCAGGAGGATGCGGATCTTCACTCTAGTACTGTCACGGTCAGGAGGCTCGAGATACAGCACGCTCCTGAATTGACTCGTGCCGTCTTGAACAACTGTCTGCTCCCATGGACTGCAAACGTGTTCTCGCAGCTCACACACCTTGAGATACGCGTCAACGGAGGAGACAACTTCATCGCGGATGATCTGCTTCCGACGCACCAGCAGCTGCAGACGGTCATCACATCCATGGTCGCACTCGAAGAGCTGTACTTGGACATCTTCCCGGAGTACGACGACGTGAACCAAGAGCAACCGCCCATCGCACTCTCTCCCAGCTGTCAACAGATCACTCTGCGTGGTCGTGATGCATTCCTCAACCGCCATTGCTATCGACTCGCCGCCTCGCTCGTCGTTCCGCCCCACGCGAAGCTCATCGTCAAGCAGGCCAGCACAGACGACGCAGACCTCATCGTCAATCACTTCGCTGGACCTCAGCATCCTCCGCAGGCTCTGAGTCTTCGTACCGGCCTTGATCTCGAACATACTTCGATGGGGGAAGTGATCATACCCTTCGATCCCGCCCTGTGGCTCGCGACGCCCGCGAACCTCCTCACTGCTACACCTGGCGGCCACATCTCTCTCCAGTTCTTGTTCGATTTCGGAGAGGACGGTGAAGGAGAAGACGAAGAGAACTGCTACAACAGCCTGTTTCGAGCACTGTCGCGGATAGACTACGGGCAGCTGAGAGTCGTACGTATTGCGGGGCTCAGGGAGGAGCAGGATATCGAGCGACTCTTGTTTGGCGGAGAGAACGATGGAGACCTTGAGGAGGTCAACGTGCTGTCGGGAGCAGCCAATCTCGACGTGCTCGTCGCAACGTTCGACGATGATGATCTTGGTCAACAGTTCCTGGACGTGGTGGCAGCTCCGGGGCAACCTATGTTTCCTCTGCTTCAGACCGTCCATCAGTAGTTCAGTGGGCCTGTTCCAGGCTCAGTATCACACTGCAATGAACAACGTCAACTTAAATCATGTACAAAGGTCATCCCCTACCGGGACGACCCACAATGAAATAACGCGATAAAAAGGCCAGACCGACGAAGGGTGAAAGCTGCTGTACAGAGGAAAAGAGCAATGATGAACGAGTGAGAGGGAGATGAGCGCATGTAGATGTGAAGGCGAGACGAGACTGCGGGACGTATAAGCTGTATGGGGTACGCGATGGATAGAAGAGGTTAGGAAGGCTGTAATGTGACTTGACTGGGGAGATAGGGGCTAGAACGGGTGTATCATATGCGACGGACGGATAGACAGACGGGCGTATGGAGAGAGGTGTATGTATGTACAGACGCAGGCGGAGACGTAGCAGGTGTTGATAAATCAAGAACAATCCATAGTACAACGATCCGGAACAGCGCCGGGGCTTTTCATAGCACGCTCGCGCCGCCCATCTCCTCCGCCGGGCTGATGACCGCCACAAGAACACTGATATCATCCGTCTTCCCACCCGCGAAGCTCCGCCCCTCTTCCCGAGCCCTCCGAGCGAATGGGATCTCGCTGCTTGGACTCGCGGGTCGGCTGGCGCGCGCCTCGCTCACTTTACGCGCGCGGCTGCAGAGGGCTTCGGAAAGCATGCCCGCGAGCGCTCGGCGTCCGAGTTTCGCGCCGACGCCTGCTGCGGTTGTTGGTGCTGCAGAAAGGGAGGCGCGCCGAAAGCGGATGACTTCGTCGAGGACGTCTTCGTCCCAGAGGTTGTCGCTGAGGCCGTCGGAGGCGAGGATCAGGATGTCGTCTGCGCGGACGGGTAGAGTTAGAAGTTGAGCGGCTTCGGGCGAGGTACGGCTTGCTGGGCCGAGTTGTAATGGGGTGTTAAACTGCAGATGGGTTGTATCATCAGTACCTTAGCTTATGATAGGCAAAAGAGATGTACTCACGCTCCACCACATCTCGTCGCTCCTCCAAACAATCTCGTCCCCGCGTACAAGCATCCCCATACAATCGCCGAGATGCGCGACGCGCAGTACAGCATCACAACCGTCCTCGGCAAGGCCGACTTCGGGCGCGGGCGCTGGATGTGGTCCAGCGCCAGCAGAGTCAAGAACAGCCAACAGCGCCGTACTCGATCCCGTCATGAGCGGGACAGTCGCCTGTTTCCTCTCCTGTTGCTGCTCATAATCATGACTGAGGAATGGCGGTGTACCCGGCCGATTGCACATCGGCGAAGTCGGTCGTGGTGCGGGTGGTGCGGGTGCGACATGCGCCTCGAGCGTCCGTGCGTACGCACGTTCGAGGATATGCAAGACATCCAGTCCGTCCTCTAGCTCCTCCAGCGGATCTTCTTCCGGCGCCTCCTCGACGGCATCCAGATCGTACGCCCAGTCGTCCGCGCGCTGATAAGGCAATGCCTGCGTTACGGGTGCATGCCAACTGCTGAATCCGGGACCGGGGTAGAAGGGCACGTGTGGTGCAGGCGGCGCTTCGAAGGCGAGGGTTGTCGTCTGCGGCGCGGCGGGTGCGGCGAGCTGTGCGAGTTCTGCGGAGCAAAAGTGCATGAGCCTGCGTGCGAAGAGTGCCGATGGTGATGGATCGTGCGGGCCGAGCGAGGGTGCGACTGTAAAGATAGCAGAAATGAAGTCAGCGATCGTGTCACAAGCACAGTGTACGAAGAAAGCGAGGCGGAGAGGCACGGTAAACGTGAGGCCAGAGTGCACAGGGGTGACATCGGCTGGCCGTCATAGGCCGAGAAGCGCGGCAAGCGCCGAAGCACGCCCTGGGCAGGAAGCTGCCCCGCCCCATCGCTCAGCGGGTAAAGGCAAAGCGACAGTCGAGATCATCGCGGCGCAGGGCGCTTCCCAAACTAAGACTGATAGCGGCGTGTACCCGCCCAATAGAGAGCGAATATGCGTGGGAGGGCGGCGGGGATACCGCAAATTGAGTGTGCGGAGATTATACTCACGGTTGCGAGACCAGCCGCCGACGCCGTCCGCGACGCCCATCGCATTCTCGCGGACGAAATATGCATCCTCGCCGACGTTTACGGCCAGATCCAATGCATCCGTCTGTCGTGACCTTGCTCCACCATGTCCATCACGACCAGAGACCACAGTCCGTGAGCGTTTCGGAATGCCATAGGCGCCAACATCAAAGTAGTATTTGTGTCGTTGTGCGCGCTTGCCGGCGGCAGTTGGGTGGGCATGCGCGTCCAGGGGTGCTGCCGCGGTAGGAGCTGGAGGCGGGGAGAACGGCGGATACGGGAAGAACGGGCCGGACGACGGTGCGGCAAATGGCGACGAGTTATTTGCCGGCGGTGACGTGAGCGCAATGCTCGATGGAGGTGCAGGGCCATGGCTGGAGTTGGAAGAATGCTGGCCGTTGCCGTGGTGTGTGGGCGATGGCGGGCCCTCGACCTCGCCCCTGCCCTCGATCGGCAATCGGCTGACCGCAAGCTGCGACCTCCCCGGCGTGGGTTGCGGCGCCGCATCGAAGAAGCCGCCGGTAAGTCCTGTCGGTGTTGCGGCGGTGTAGAGGGAGCGGGAGGACGAGGCCGAGTTTGAGCGCACGCGGGACGACGACGACGCCGCGGCCGCAGCCTGGGTCACGCCCCGCGGCAAGACTGTGTACAGCCGTTTCTGCAGCGTCGTCGACGCAGACATCGTGCTCGATGCGGAAGGTGAGGAGAAGGTGATGAAAGAGTGTGGCAAGATATAGCCTCAGAGCAAACAACTCGACAGACGTCAATCTCGCCTTTTCCCCACGCTCCCATTCGCCCGTCGACGGCTCGGCCTCTCGCGGCCTCCCGCGTCTGACTTGACCCAGCCCCCCGACGTCGTCCCTCGCCCCCTGTTTCCCCGCAGAACGTCCTCCTTGCGCGCGTGATACCGATCTTGCACATCTGGGCTCCTCGACTTGGAAAGTACGCTGACGTCTGCTTCCTATCGGGCAGGTTCCCTCCTTTGCCAACTTCACGGAATCAGCTGCCGACGCGCCCCGGCTTCTGCCGTCACACTTTCTGCGCGCTGCGAACATGTCCGAGCGCTTTCCCAACCCCGAGCCACTCTCCGTTGAACCGTCACGAGAGCTTTGTGGGCGTTGGCCAAGGCGATGTCTAAAGTACATGCAGTGGCGTAGACCAGCTGCGTGCTGGGCGTAGACTTGGCCAGATCTACGTCGACTATTCAGTCGGCCTGTTCAACGAGCTGCTAAAACCCGGGCGCCGCTATTCGTCCGTCTATGGCCGCTTCTCTACAGATCTTCTCTACGACGAACTGTATTCCTTACAGCTGAATTAACTCACTCTACATGTACGCTGGACATGTTTTCTCTGCCCGCTGCACTGTCGCTGGGAAATCTTGTCACCAGTCTCAATCGCGCTACCGGTTGCCGATGTTGGTAATCATCGCATCGACTCGCCCGTAGCGTCTTTTAAGTTCTCTGCCTACATACTGGCGCGCGAAGATTCCAATAATGCTCGGTACACGATGTCGGCGCCTCGCTGATCTTGGCTTGGCCACATGCTACGATCTTCCCCGCGTGAAGCTTGATCTCTTTCGATTTCACTCTCGCACTGCGTCTGCGTGCACGAGGAGCTCTTGAGGCCGACGACTTCTTCGACGGACGGATCTCGCTAAGCATGTCTTCTGCGTGGCCGACAGGTGTAGCTCGCGCGCGTTCGGTTCGCTTCTAATCGTATTCTCTCAAGCTCTCCTGTACCGCAACTCCGCGACCGACATCTTCATCGTGGCTCTTGGATTCTCATTCTCTGAGGGAGACCTCGCTATGGGACCGCGTGGGACCGCATCCGATCAGCCTCCGTTACGAAGAGTGCTCGCCCTCCAATCGTGCGGCTTATTACATCTTCATGGACGGTAAACGACGGCGAGCGTAGGACGAAGAATGCGAAGAGGAGTACCCCAATTATGACTCATACGGTCACAGAGGGTTGACTGTGTGTACGAGGGTAGTGATGAGGAGGCCGAATGTTCGTGTACTTATACAACATGCGGATGACGATCATGTTAGATGGGGATGAACACATAACCTGGGCCCATATCCGAAGCAGCGGGCGTGGAGGAGATGAAACTATGCGCTCGAGTGCATTCTGGCCCAGGGTTTGTTAACGCGCGCGATCTTGGATCCTGGTCCTTCATCTCCTTGCGAAACTATCCCTGTGTGCGGTAAGCACGGCGTGCTCCAAACTTGTACGTCGCGTCCTCGCCGTGCTGGCGACTGGCGGTCATCGTCTCGTATATCGATCGCACACGTTCGCGCCCGCACGAGCGTCACTGCTGGCTTCTGTCGGGCCTTCCACTTGGCTCCCGCTCTCTTCTGAGAGGCTACATGAGAGATATAATCAAAACATGCGCACGCCTTCGCCCTTCTGAAGAGTATCGTGACGAAAGGTAACAAAACACGAGTCTTCGTGCGGCGGCATCCGACTCTCCAAGCAGGCAAGCTCGTATGCCCATTGGAACAGGCTCTCGCGCGCGGTCGGCATGGAGCTCTTGATGTATGCTCAATGTAAACTATTGGGAGTGAGAAATCCCATCGATGACGTGAGTAACTGTGGTTTGCCAACCACTCAACCACGGTGCACCCGGGATCGTCGAGATGTGTGGTTGATCACGCCTCCAGAAAATATAAGCAGCCCAACGTCGGGTCAAAACATCCCTCTCTTACCATCTTCCTCTCCTCAGCATGGCGCGCGTCGTATCGAGTCTCTCTGGAGGCACTCACAACGACGGCGGTCACGCATGGCGTGCTGCCAAGATCCTCGAGATTGGTCGGCGGATGGGTGGCCACCGCGCCATGTACGACGAAGCCGCCGGACACGTACCAACTGGTTCTATTCGACCTTACTCCGACAGCCAGTTCATGCGCCCCGGCGATCCGGACGACATGAAGGAGCATCTCATTGTTCTCAGAGTCTTTGGGTTCTACATGCTACAGGGAGCTGATAGTCCAAGCTTCGGCGTCCGTACTTGGGAATTGTTCACAAAAGCCGGCGTCTTGGAGGTGCTTCTCGATATCCTTGCGAGCGAAGGGTCCCTGAAGGAACACGTCGTAAGTGATTGATATGTTCCGAACCATGTCCTACTGGATGGACTGATCACGCCCATTGTAGAGAGTGGTTGAGGCGGTCTGGACGGGCATGAGACACATCCTCATGCAGGAGAGGCTACTGGTAGACAAGACCGTGATCGACGCAATCCTTGACAGGACGCGCAGTGTTTGGAAACCGTTCTGGGATTCGCGTCATCTCTTGCCCCCATATTCGCCCACAGAGTACGCCACCGACATCGACCGCGAACACGCCGAGGGGTACGAGACTATCACCACCTCAGTACTAATCCATTGGAACAACCTTTATTTCACCCGGTAAGGGACTCTCTAGAGATCCAGGTCACGACCAGCACTGACACACGGAGAAGGCACTCGGAATTCGCCCCAACCGACACGTATATTGCACATGCATCTCTCACGCTCTGGATGTGCTACCAGCACCCCGACCTGGCTCATTACGCCGAATTCGCACTCAATGGGCTACATGGACTCTTTTCCAAGATTCGCGACTCGTCGGAGGAATTCGCCCAGGAAGCTGTTATCGAGGGCGTAGGGCTTGAGGCGTATCTTGAGCGCCTGGATCTGCACATCAGTCGTCAACGTCATCCAGAAAATATGTGCACTCTCGATTACAAGACCTGGATTCTCTGTCTTCCGATAATGACCGCGTCGAGTGTGCTGCCTCATCTCATCGCCCATGGAACACTGGACTCGCTTATCAACTTGCATGCCGAGCTGGCCAGGAACTCTAACCATGTGGAGAAAAGCACCCACGTGTTGTATTGTGTCTTGCGAGTGTTCAAGTCAGTCGTCGAACTCACATACACCGCGAGAATATCTTTCCTGACTCATGGTTTAGCGAAGCCTTCGAAGCGCATTGGATTACCCGTATCGAACGAAAGGACGCTCTGCCACTCGTTGCCCTCCGGGGCGAAGATCTCATCACCATCTTCTCCAAGGGCCTGCATCAGGTGACAAGGCCAGACTGCAAGGATCGCGAGAGTCAGTGTTAGTCCATTGTATTCCGATTCGAGTAACTTACTGATGGACTTTCAATCATTAGTTCTCATTCCCCTTCTCCGCGAAGGACTCCTTCGCGCCGAGAAAGTCCTCCAACAACTGCGTCCGAGGTCAAGACGCTTCAAGCCCCAAGCGCATGCCTTCTACGAAGAGTGTCTCCTCAGCGCACCCGATCATTGGTATGCCGCTTTCAGCGCGGTGGAGACAGCCAATTATCACAGGGTCATTGAGAAGGAACACTGCGCCAGCCTCATACACGCTTGGATACTGCTCGGCAAATCCCTAGGCCTTCATCGTGACAAGGAGCGGGAGCGACTTGAGCGGCTCAAGCGCATCCACTGCGGGTGGTACCGCTGCGAGCATCACTGCGTGAAGACAGATGGGTCGCTCAGAAAGTGCGCGGGCTGTAACGACGTTCGATACTGCACTAGGGAGTGCCAGACTGCCGACTGGAAGGCCAGGCATAAGAATGAGTGTGGGAACCGGCTGAAGGCACAGTGAGCGGACGTAGAAAGCGTAGCTCGGGAGTGGTCGAGAACGTGAAGTGTACGACGGCGAGGGCATTATCTGAATGGCATATCGAAGACGTGCTGTGCGATTTCAGCTGTCTGAGGATTTATGGAACTCAGACTGTCAACTCGTGCCTCTATTTTCTGAGCCAGAATAGCAGAATAACGGAGTGATTGCCTCACGAGAAGTCACTGGTGAGAAGCGAGAACGCGGAAGAAGATCGGTCCCGGTAGTACACGCCGCGGCTACCGACGGTCGTGAGACTGCTTTATCGGCGGCTTTATTGTGCAGGCTAGCGCTGCATTGTCCTGTAAGGTCTATATCCATTTCAAAGCTGCTCGCGGGGGCAACACCGGTGAAACACCCATGCTGATGGTCGTCGCGCGCAGTGAGTGGGAGAGGCAAGTCGCATTCCTGCAATAGTTGATGGCATCAGAAGCGCCTCGTGTCCCTTGTTCTGTTCAGTATATAGATCTCACGCGCGCGAATTTAGAGCAGTTCAACAGCCCCGCTGCTCTTTCTTCCGACCGTTTCCCTCGCCCCTTCCGTCACGATGCGTGCCTCCTTCGCCGCCCTCGCGCTCCTCCCCGCCTCTGCGCTCGGTACGAGCATGGTATTTCCTCCCTAGAATGCGCTTCTCACCTCGTATACAGCGATTACCATCAATGGGCCGTCTGCTTCCCAGTACTGGTACGTTTCTCACCGTCATTAGCTGGGGGACAACGGTACTGATACGCAAAATTTGTAGGGTTGCCAACTCGAGCAACACCATCTCTTGGTCGTTCTCGTCTGGCGATCCCGCCCAGGTCGACGTTATCCTCACGAACTCCAACAACCAAGTACGTGATTCCATGCAAGTAAAGTATATATTGTTGTACTGACTTCGTCATACAGACGTTGAATGGCGATTTCTCTATTGCCCGCTTCCTCAACACCTCGGCCGAGGTACGTTACCGTCTGCCTAATTCCAGCCATGCATCTGTCTAACGCGTTGCACAGTCCTTCACGGTTACCAACGTCACGATCCGCAGCGGTGACAACTACCAGGTTGTGTTCATCAACCCGACCAACGCGTCCCAGGTCTACGCCAACAGCTCTGACTTCAGCGTCAAGCCTGCCGGCAGTACGTACTCTGAGTGTCCATTCACGAGTCAAGGGATGCTCATATTTACTAGCTACGCCGGCCGCGACTTCCTCGGCCGCCAGCTCTTCGGCGTCGTCGACGTCGCCCGCATCCTCTGGATCCTCGTCCGGCTCCGCCTCTGCAAGCGCCGCCTCTTCGACCCAGTCGTCCGCAGCCTCTCCCTTGGCCGGTGCTTCCTTCGGCAGCGCCATCTACGCTCTTGGCGCCTGCGCCCTTGCGGCTGTCGGCGGTGCTCTCCTCTAAGCACATATCTAACCCCACGCACGGACGCGCACCCCCTACGGTCATCACCTTTACACTCCCCTTGTCCCATCTACCCTCGATTTTGTATACCGGCTCGCTCTTTGTCCACTACGCTCTTTGCCCTCGGTCCTCTGGTGTCATTTCTGGCTGGTCGGGGCCGACTTACGATTATCGTACATAGTTCCTGGTCCATGTTTGCCTGCGTTGTCATGTGTTGCGATGTACGTTCTGTTCGCTTTGTACGCCGCACCCCCGCGGGTTGCCTGCTATCGATTTGATTTGGTTGTCATGCCTGCGTGATCGTGTGATTGTCACTCGGCAAGGTAATAAACGACTATGACTCCTTGTTCACGGTGCGTACCTCGTTCATTATTCTGCCGAGGAGGCATATCCTACCTGGACAATCACCGCTACTTTGTCCGTTACACGCTGGCAGAGTTCACTGATTGCCTCACGGTCGTCGTGATATCTCCGAGTTGGGGCTGGGAACGTGGATGACTTCGGCGCCCGCAACACTGCTTGTCGCGTCGGGCTCTTTCTTTCCTACCACGATCATCAATCCCGTTTACTTTGGCGATGACCGCGCCTCCAATACAGCAGCCTCCGAGTGCTCCGCAGCATTTAGTACAGCCTCAGAGTAGTGGTCTTCACCCGTAGGTCGGGTATCCATGGCTCATCCGATGTGTCACTCACTCGCGGCCAGACATCAAGATATGCCTTGGCGCAAAGCCCCCCTCGAAGTTCTCATACACGTCTTCTCGTTCGTTGTAGATGCAGAACCGCCGTACCGCTCGCACGGCCCGCCCGACGCACAATTTACGCATCCGCCTATCGGATGGCTTCGCCTGGGACATATCAATTCAGTGTGGAGAAGAGCTCTGCTCGGGAATGCGTCCTTTTGGGCAAAGAGCATCGGCGTATATGCGCGTGCCATGCACGAAATGCTCATGCGCGCGGGCCCGTCAGCGCTATTGCGAGTGGAGCTTCCCTTCTCTCACGGTTTACCCACCGAGTCTGGACTGGCAGAACTGCTGCAGGCGTGCCGGGACGATCAAGTGGCACTTCTCAATCGCCTGCAAGCGCTGATCATTGAAAACGACGTTAATCCTGCCGGGCCAGAGCTTGAAGAAGCGTCCACGTTATTCACCTCCCCGCTACCCGAACTGCAGGAGCTCGAGCTATCGTTTAGTCACTTCTCAGAGCCTTACAAAAAAGATCTCAACAAGACCCTCGACGCACCCAAGTTACAAAAGATATCCTTGCTGAACTGCTGTTTCACCGGAGTCTGGCTGGCTCCTGCCCTGGCGTCGCTACAGATCGTGATGCGCCGGCGGCCAATGTATCAATGGATCGCGTCTCCCGAGTACATTCTCGGCGTCCTCGACGCCTGTAAACATACACTGCGTCGTGTTCACCTTGAAAATGTTTTTTGGGACGATCGCCCTGCTGAGGAGCTCCGCATCGCCACCAGGACCGATAGAGTGTACCTACCACACTTGACCAGTTTATACCTGTCGGATTTCGCCGGGGAGGCAGCTGTGTTTCTTACGGGCCTGGCACTCCCTCCTACTGCTCGTGCAAAAGTCGAGGTGTCCAAACACCGCCTGCGTTCGGACCAGGCCGGCACCACAGTCTTTCAAGAGCTCGTTCGCGCAGCCCTTGGCGAACATCCTGGCCGCTTCAACGCGCTTCGTATGCACGACGATGATCGCGATCCCACCAACCCGGACGACGGATTCGATATCGATCTGTACGAGCTCCCTTCGGAGACGAAGGAGCACCATTGCGCCTGGTTTGCAGGACTACAGCCCGCTGTGTCGTTTCACATCGAATGCGATGGATCTCCCTACCTCATCTATCCCTACATTCGCGACGACTTCACCGAAGACATCTTGGTCCCTGTGCTCAGTGAGCACGTGCCGGATATCCAAAAACTCGCTTTTGCTCTGGGCGAGGTTCAGAACTTTGAAGACGAGGGTGAACCTGAGAGTCATGTCGGGCATATCATGGACTACGCTGCCGGAGCGACGACCGTTGCGATCGAAGATCCGTATGCGTATGGATGTCCTGTGATGGGTGCTTTCAGCGAGTGGGAGCGGCTCAGTTGTGTCGACACTCTGTGCATCTTATACCGGGTTCGGGATAAGGGAAAAAAAGTGGACTCTTGGGGTTTGAGCAATGACTTGGGCAAGCGCGCCTCGACGATTCCGACGGTACATATCGATCAGGCATGAAAGTGCGGAGGGGAAAGGAAGCGGGAGCTGCGGCGCCCAGGGCCGTCAGTGTATATTTGAGGCGTAAGGAAACAACATCTGCGATCAAGCAGCAATGAAGCGAGAGTCCAGGTCCGGGGATACATCCAAAGATACAATCATAGAGCAGGCATCGGATGCTGTACTTGTACTCGTACAAACAACAACTTCGGTCTTATCCTTCGTTCATGTCAGTGGAACCTCAGTGGTCGCGAGACTTCCTAGTCCGGCGTATGAGCGAGAATCTCAGAGCAAGATCTAGGTTGGCTTACCTGTATTCGCCCTCCGCGGCAACTGCGAGTTCCTCGACTTCGCCCTGAACGGTGTTAAGAGCATCGGCGGCAGCAGCGAAGTAGTTCAGCTGGGCCTTGACAAGCTCATTGATGTTCTTGACGGGCTCGGGGTTGTCGAGAACAGCCTTCATCATGGTGATCGCGACCTCAGTCTTCTGGACAAGATCATCCTCCGCGTTCTCAACTTCAAGACGTGCCTGCTCCTGCTTCGCCGGGCCGGCGTTCTTGAGGCTGTAGTAGGAATATGAACACATCAGCGTCCGAATGCGATGCGATGCGGGCATGTTCGGCCGCCGTCCAAACTGGGAACTCACGTCTGCTTGGCCGCGTCGAGTTCGAGACGGCTGGCACGCACGGCACCGCGAGCGTTCATAGCGAGCTTGATGGAGTTGTTGAGGGTCTGCTGCCACGGGTGGGTGAAACCATGGACGATCGAGGCGTCCTGCTCGACACGTGCTGCCGCAATCTTATCCCAAGCGCCGGCGTACTCGGCGAGCGCACGTCCGAGGCGGTCTTCAGGGCCAGCAACACCCTGGATGTGCTGAGCGGCCTGGGTAGCAGCACGACCGAGCGCATGTGGGAGAGTCTTGTGCTGCTTGGGAGGCGGCGCAGTCGGGTTCGGTGCGGGCAGGTTCGTGCCCTTGAGGTTGGCGGCAGCAAAGTTGGTGATGCCGGCGCCGATGGTGGTGCCGAGCTCAGCAACGGTCTCGTTTACCTGAGTAGGGTAGTCGTACGCCTCGTTCTCGTAAACCTTGCCGACTCTAGATTGACAGACGTCAACAATATGTACATGATCAGAAAGAGAGATACCAACTTGAGCAAGAAGACGTGCGCCTGGCGCAGAGCATCGACACGCGCTTCGAGATCCTTGTATTCTGCGATACAGTCAGTATTCAAACCGGATATGGAATACAAGGATCGAAGTACCCTGCGGGAGTTCAGTGATCTCATCCGCCGAGACCTGCCCAAGACGCTCGCGGGTAGCCTGAACGCTCGAGTTGAATCCCTTTGTGAATTTGCTCGCGCTTTGGCCGAGGTTGAGCTGGCCGATGCTGGCAGAGAGTTTGTTCCAGCCTTCCATGGTGAGAGAGTAATGGCAGTCGAAAGCAAAGGCGATGTCGCGGTATCTTGATGGGCTCTTGTTGCACCGGCTGTACGCGGATGATGTAAGCAATCTAAAGACGACGCGCACGCGTCGCGCGTTCAGAGCGCGCCGCGACGCGTAACTCCTGCTTCTCCACCTTGTCCTCATCTACCATGGCTGCTGTCGAATCTCAGGGCGGCTTCGACTTTTCAAATGTTGCAAGGTGTGGGAGTGAATATAATATCCACTCGCATAGCTAATACGTGATGCAGGAACTCGTATCTCGCGAACCATGGCGTAAAGCTTCCCAACGCTACATCGACGGGTACAACAATCGTCGGCTGTCTTTTCGAGGGAGGCATCGTATTAGGCGCCGATACCCGTGCAACTGCTGGACCCATTGTTGCCGACAAGAATTGCGAGAAGGCGAGTTACGCGTATAATATGGTGCGCATCGAGTAGCTAACGCGGAATCTAGATCCACTACATCGCCGACCATATTCGATGCTGTGGCGCGGGTACCGCCGCTGACACCGAGTTCGTGACCGCGCTCATCTCCTCCAACATCGAGCTGCACGGGCTTTCAACCGGGCGCAAGCCGCGCGTCGTGACCGCTATGACCATGCTCAAGCAACATCTGTTCCGGTACGTCCATGCAATAGTGTTCGCTATACAATGAGTCTTATAAGAACATAGCTACCAGGGTCATGTTGGTGCAGCACTGGTACTTGGCGGGGTGGATGCAACAGGATCTCACCTCTTCACGGTCGCGCCACACGGCTCAACAGACAAGCTGCCGTACGTGACAATGGGATCCGGTTCGCTCGCTGCCATGGCCGTATTCGAATCGAAGTGGCAACCGAAGATGAGCGTACGTCGGTCGTAATCGTTTATATTGGCATGGCCCTGCTAACATCTGAACAGCGCGAAGCCGCGATTGAGATCGTCTCGGAAGCCATTGCGGCGGGTATCTTCAACGATCTTGGTTCAGGTTCGAACATCGACGTCTGCGTCATCACGAAGGACAAGACGGACATGTTGCGGAACTACATCAAGCCGAACGAGCGTGTACAGAAGGAGAAGAGGTACAACTTCAGGCGCGGGACTACGGCATGGACCAAAGAGAGAGTCCGCTCGCTCATCGTCAGCGAAGAGATCTTGCCAATCACTTCGAACGCCGCCGCAGAGGCTATGGACACGAGCTAGGCGCTATAAGCATCTATATAGGGTGTGATTGTACGATGGATTAATGCATGGTCGCGTTTGCTTTGTTCTGTTTTGGGCCTTCGATCTTATTATCTCACCAGTAGAAGGTCAGTGCGCGTTGATGATCAGAGGGGGACTTCGTTCGTAATTGTGCGTGGTTGTGCATCGCTTGGTTCATGTTTTCCTTCTTTGGCCTTCTTGTTTGCCTCGTGTTCTTTACATCAACCACTCGCTAGAGCGTTTCCACAAGGCTCCCGTTCTTTCTGACCACCACCGCCACCACCGCCACCCGTTCACCCTCACCCCGCCTCACCAATGGATTCTCAACTGCATCCCGCCCAGCGAACGCGCATCCCGCCGTTCTCGATTCTCGCACTCGACGCCACTCTCGCCGCGGTGAACTTCGTCGCGCCACTGCTTGGTCAGATCGTGTGGTTCATCATGTTCTTCACGGCTATTGCGGTCCCGTTAGACGCCAACAACCAGTTCGCGCCAGCATTGGAGTTACGGCTCGCGGGCGTGTTGCTGTCGGTACCAGCAGGCGTGCTGGTCGCGCGTGTTCTAGGGCACTGGTTACTGGAGGGGATAGTTGTGCCGGAGCTATGTTACTGGCGCATGCGGTTGTTGGAAGAGGATGCGGCTCGATGGATTGCTGAGCAGAAGGCTTCGAGCCATGCAAGGTCGTCCACGTCTGGGACCGTCCTGGTCTCCGAAACGCAAGGCGAGCTTCATAGCGTCTATGCACATGGGTTGTGCTCATGAAATGCATATAGGCGCGGACGGAAAGGTGATATCGGGCGAGGATGAGCCGATCCGACGCTCGATTAGTCCGGTGGACTCGCTCCATGACTTGTCGCCATTTGAGGAGATGGAGCGGCAAGATCTCATCCGGCAATGGCAGGCTGGTCTGTAGGAGAAGGATACGCAGTTGATACGACGAACTGAACCATCATGATTCGGAGCACGGTCGTGGGCGTACACACTTCGCGGACATTCACACGCATGTATATTATTCGCCTCGCTCAGACACTTCAAAGAAGTACCAATACTCAGCCGCGCTCTGTGTGCGCGGTCATAACATTGGACATTCGATTTTCTACGTGACATTAAGAGACAATCATAGAGAGAAAATCCGAGTACGCTGAGGGAGCCACTTGCACAGCTAATCTTTACAGCCCACCTTGTGCCACATGGCAGGGGGCATCATCATAGATGGAAAGTGATTCCTCTGTGAATTCGAGCGAGTTCTGACTGTTTAGACGGGAAGGGTACACTCGGTGCGCAACCTACATGAAGGTTTGAACATGGCGAACAGGCATCAGAAGAACTTCTACCATTGCGTCCGCGCTGTCATCGGGATACACTACGGCTGGAGGAATCTCGTCCGCGCCAAACGTACTACTGACGCAGTCTGTCTCCGCAATCCCTCTTGTGCTCCCTCCGATGCTTCAATTGGCATTCTTTGCCGCAGTATCTGGCCTGGCCGCACCCCTTGCACGACGGCAGCGTTCTCTCCGGGTCAGACGTGTGATAGACGCATTCGGGCCACGCACAACGCGTTCGGGTCAAGCGCGCAAGGCGTACACGCTCCTTATCCTCCTTCAGCCCAAGGGCCCTGCCGAAATCGACCCAGTATTGAAGCATACGATGATGTGTGTCCTTGTTGAGCTCGCCGCGCTGCATCGCCGTAGTAAGAAGAGTAAGCGACTGGTGCCACTGCGACGGCGCGTGCGCTCTACATTCCGCGATGAATTTTGCTTTGGGGGAAGGACTGGCATCTGGAGCGACCGTAATGAAGGAGGTCAGGTAATAGAGATCGTCGCAGATGCGCAGTAAGAAAGCTTCGTTCATACGGGCAGAGCCAACTTTAGTCCCATTTCCAGCTCTTGCCGTGAACGCTATAGCGATTGCAAGGATATCCACCGCCGTATCGCCGCGCAGAACGATATCTTGGTCGAGATGTCCATACCAATGCCCAGCGTAAAGGCTATACCCAAAATCAGACACCGGTATAGTCAGAAACAACTGCTTATGCGTACCTGAAGAGTTGATATACAGTCTCAAAGACCATGCCGTAGACGCCAAGGTGGAGGCGAAGCTCCCGGGATAATGCGTTACAGAGCTCGACACAGATCCCCAGCGTATCATGGTGCATCAGGTATATCATGACGTCCATCGTTCTCAGCGGTTGATGAAGCAGGGCCCAATGAGCGTAGTCTTCCTCTTCAATATCTTCGTCGCGTGTATTGGACAAGCGCCGCGTATCCTGCTCAAAGCGTAGACGGAAGGCTTCAAGGCCGATACCGTTGACGATGGCGTCTTTGGAAAATGTTTCGTATGCTGTGATGAACTCTGGCGTACGCTCGGAGTTGAGGATGTTGAGGGTATTCAAGGAGAGTGTCGCACTAGAGGAGAGGTCCTGGCGTCCCTTGGTGCGCTCCCAGAGGAGTAAGCCCACATGGGGCATATACGTGTCAAACGGAGGGCTGAACGAATGCCTATTTGAAATCAACCGAGATACTCGCTATGGGAATGAAAAAGGTGTGACGAACCGTTGCCAGTAAAGTGCGTGAAAGAGACCAAGCAGATAGGCGAGTGGCTCGGTAAACTTCCCCGCTGCCTGGAAAGCAGGAAGACGCTTGCTCCGAGGCCACGCACGGATGTACTCCCGCGAATCCCAGATGCTTTTCCAGAGGTCCCGGGCACGAGAGAGCACGTTATTAGATAGTGTAACGTCACGGGAACAATTCTCGACAGCACTGTTGAAACCTAGCAGCAATACGTCCACGAGGATCTACGCGTTTTTGTAAAAGGACGCGATAAGAAAAGGCTGTACATTGGCGTACCACGTGCTCGGTGAAGAAGCCAGGATCGGTGACGATCTCGAAATACATGTCGACTATCCCGCCTTTCGACAATGCCCTCCAGTCATCACTGTCATCAGAAAGCTTCTGTAGACCTTCAGTCATCAGTTCAGCAAGCAATAATGTTGGCTCCAGCGTCTCGACGGGTCCTCTAGGCGTGAGGATGGTGGCCTTGGCGCTAACTTTATTGGACCGGCGAGACTCGCGGAGCCAGAAGTAGGTCGTGCGGAGACCCATTACGCGCTGGGCCATAGTGGAATTGTCAGTCCATGAATGATGTTTCTGCTTCAGGAGGGTGCCGGAATCGTGAACGATGGCGAAATTCGTAGCGCGTGTATCGCGTGGCATCAAGAACCTCGGCAACGGGCGGGAAGCGGGAAGCCTGCAGATACGCGGCAAATACGGATGGGAGAGGGGCCAGAAAGGCTGCACGTATTGGTTCGTCTTTATAGCGCGATCGTGAAGGTTTCTGCTACAAACGGCTAAGGTCTCCCTGTGATGGCATACGGCCGGCGCATGCCCGCGACAAAGGGAATGTACACGTGGGATCAGGGTCTCTCTCCAAAGTAGAACAAGGCAAGACTTTACTGCTCTGCGCCATCAGCACAGCCTCATCTTTTGCAGAACAACGCCAGCATGCGAGCCGTCGGCGAATACCATGTGAGTCGACTATAGGCGCCAGCGACGATGGCGCGCGGTCAATTTACCGAGTTGATTCGTCAAGAGGCTCGCTGACAGCGCGGCATACAGCGGAGAATCGACAGAAGAGAATGATTCAAAAGGTCCGAATGTGTAGATGTATCCTGCTCCATAACGGCGATAAGAATGGAGGGTCCCGTCTTACAGACGAGGGCGTGAAGCAAAGCGCGACAAGCCGCGTCGCGGAGACAGAACGCGCTCACGAGACCGTGACCGCGCGCTCGCGGGAGATTGACTCGATGGTTCGGAGAAGTCGAAGGCTGGATCATCTTGCTCTCTACGATCATGGCTGCTCCCAACGCAAGCGCAGACGAGCGCTTTGAACTCATCACTCGCGGCCTTGGCGAGGTACTTGGCGGAGAGAGGATCAAGGCGATCTTGGACGAGGGCCGTACACCAAAATGTTACTGGGGTGCGCGTCTTTTCCAGTCACGACTTGAGGCTATGCTAAAGATCGCGCCTAGGAACTGCTACTACTGGAAGACGTACGTCTTTACATATTTAGATGGCTCATCTCGTCGACCTGTCGCATAGCGCACATCGGTTACTTTGTCCCTCTGACGAAACTTGCCGACTTTCTGCGCGCGGGCGTAGAGGTATGTTCATATAGCGAGTGATTGGAATCCGCGTTTACCAGGGATAACAGGTCAAAATCCTCATCGCAGGTGTGTATGATGGACTTGTATACTACTATGCTCTGATCTCCAGTGCAGATATTCATGCATTCCTCGACAACTTGAAGGCGCCGTTCGAGTTGATCGAGAAGCGCTCGAAGTACTACGAGAAAGTCATCTTCACCGTCTTGAAGTCGCTCGGTATCCCGACCGAGAAGCTCATCTTCGTCACTGGCTCGTCGTACCAACTCACTCCCAAGTACACCATGGACAACTTCCGTCTCTGCGCGACTGTCACTGAGCACGACGCTAAGAAGGCCGGCGCGGAGGTCGTCAAGCAGGTCGAGAGCCCACTACTTTCCGGTTTGATCTATCCTGGTATGCAGGCTCTTGACGAAGAGTACCTCGGTGTCGACTTCCAGTTCGGTGGGATTGACCAGGTACGCCGCGTTTGACTCCGTGAAAACGCCGGCAGGAGCTCACGGGTAGCGGGCGCTGTTTCCTTCCCGCGTTTCATCGTACAGCGCAAGATCTTCACATTCGCTGAGCTCTACCTTCCGCGTCTGGGCTACGCAAAGCGCGCGCACTTGATGAACAAGATGGTGCCCGGTCTTACTGGTGGCAAGATGTCTTCATCCGAGCCGAACAGCAAGATCGACTTCCTTGACCCGCCCGATGTTGTCAAACGCAAGATCAAGAGCGCGTTCTGTGAGGAGGGCAACGTAGCCGAGAACGGCGTTCTCGCGTTCGCAACTGCAGTGCTGCTACCCATCTCTTCGATGCGTCTCGAGCGCGAACATGGGTTGACGGGCCAGGACGGGTCAGAGGGTTCTGGCTCTATTGGCACGCAGAGTCTTCGTCCATTTGTCGGTCCCGGTGCACCTGAGGGTACCATATTCACCGTCGAGCGGCCCGAGAAGTTCGGCGGCCCGATGCACTTCCCGAGCGCACAAGCACTTGAGGATTCATTTGCCGCGCGCGAGTTGCACCCAGGCGATCTGAAGAAGGCCGTTGAGGCGGCTCTTGTCAGTCTGCTCGAGCCGATCCAGGCAGCGTATCAGGCGGACGCGGAGTGGCAGGAACTCGTCAAGGCTGCCTACCCTGAAGAGCAGAAGCCGGTGAAGAAGGCGAAAAAGGTACGTGAGTTCGCACGACGGATATGGCATGCGATATGGACATGCTCGTAGGAGAAAGTCTACCACCCACCGCCACCTGGCAAGGGCAAGAACACCGCTAAACCCGCCGAGCAGCCCACGCCAGCCGCGGCTGCACCCGCAAGCACCACCGAAGCCGCACAAAGCGGCGACGCGGTTGACCAGGCAGCGATCCAGGTCGCGAAAGAAGACGCGACTAGCGCATAAAAGAGGAGGACGGGATGCAGTGTATTCACGAGCTTGTAGATTGTTGTAGCATATACCAGATCGTTCTCTAGATATCTCGCAATGATTGAGGATGAGACTGGGAATCAGCATTGTAGTGTGGTATGGAACGATTTGAGCCATTCTACTAATACAAGAGCTCACGAAGCTAGAGAGTTCAAAGGAAGCAAAACGGAACCCATTCCTTGACTTCGATACCAAGATATTCCGAAACGTATTTGAGTTCTGACGTTCACATCGCCGCGACCGTCTTGTTGCCGTTGACGATGCCGTTCACTTGCGAGAGTGCGGCGTCGGCCTTGCGCAGGTCGCCTTCGCTGAGGGCCTTGAACGGTCCACCGCCCGGTGTGCTGGCGCCAGACATGACAGACGAGGCGCGCGAGCGGACCTTCATGATGAGCGGGCTACAGAGAGTGATCAGTATGGCGCGCAGTTCGTAAGGTAAACAGACATACAAGGGGTAGCTATCCTCGTCGTCCTCCGTGTGGTTGGGCCACTGGTAGCCTCGGTAGTCCGAGGTGTTCAAGCCTTGCATCTCCTCGGTGAGCGTGCCCATGTCGCCGGGCGTCTTGAGTGCGTCGGAACGGAAGCGAGGGCTGCCGGGCATGCTAATCGCGAGGCGCTCAGGTCCATGCGCGAACTCATACTCCTCTTCGGCCTCGGCGCCAGGGTAGAACGCGTCGGGGTACGCGCGGCGCAGGCCGAGCTGGCGCGCCTTGCTGTACTCGATGCCGAGGTTCTTCCAGTCGAGCAGCGGAGACAAGCGCTCGACGCGGTTGCGCTGGTTGATGCGCTGGCGGCGCGTCTTGTTGCAAAAGTCGTGCAGCACGCTCGCGAGCTGGGTGACGCTGTCTTCGACGGACTTCATCCGGCGGTCGATGATATAGCAGCCCTCGTCCTCGGGCCTGTCGATCATATCTTGCATGAAGCATCCGAACCCGGACAGGTTCGTCGTGACGGACGGGATACCCATCTAGAGGTATGCGTCAGCGCTTTCCGATAGAAACGGTCATACACGGCGATGACATACCACAGTGCACTCGGCGGGAGTGTAGCCCCACGGCTCGTAATAGCTGGCGAAAACGCCGAGATGGCAACCGCGCACGAACTCCTCGTAGTCCATCCCAAGCACCGGGTTGTTCGAGTTCAAGAAGTCTGGGTGGAAGACGATCTTGACGCGGTCGCTCGACTGGTTGAACAGGCGGACACGCCTGATCTGGTTGAGGATAGGGTCGGCAGCGTCGTCGACCATGTTGTGCGTCGTGACGGGCGGCAGCGCGTTGCGCTTGAGAGCGAAGATACGCCTCTTGAGCGCAACCCTGTCCTCCTCAGAGATCAGCTCCTCGGGAGCTGGCAGGTGCTTGAACTCGCTAAAAGGAACGCGTGAGCGACGTCATGTGGCACCTGATGCGAGAAAACTCACCCGTTTGACCGTGACGCGAAGTCGAAGAGACGTGCGCCGATACGGTTCTGAATCTCAGTGACCGTGTCCTTCAGCTGCTTGGTCACGGCTTGACCCTTGAGCGAGTCGATGGTGTAGGACTGCGTGGCAGCAGGGTGGATAAGGAAGGCGACGACGGTGGTGTTTGAGCCTGCCGCCTGGAGACGGTGGTTCAAGCGCGCGAGCGACTCGATGAACATGTCGATACCCTTATTGCGGTACTCGTAGCGACCAGCGGTGAACATGTAGAGCGTGTTGTCGAGGTCGAAGTCGAGGTGGCCATAGAAATGTCCGCGCACGAATTCGTTGATCTTCGCCTTGGCTGTCGAATGCAGGTTTTGGAACTCATGCATCGCCTGGAACTTGACGACGTTCAAGCCGTTCGGCAAAACGCCGTCGGGCTTGCGCTTGAGTAAGTGTTCGGCCTCGTACGCGGTGATGTGAGACACGGTCGTGAAGACGTCGGCGCAGTGTGTTGCGGAACGTTCGATGCAGTAGCGGTGATAGATGCCGCGCTTGCCAGCTTCGTGGTCCACGTCGAAGTACTGCATGTTGTTGTAGAAGTCTACAGAGCCGGCGCACAGGTAGCGGCCTAGAAGCGTAGCGTGTGTCGTAAAGACGGTGGTGACATCGATGTGCCTCTTGCGGCAGAGGGGAATGGCTACACCCGCTTGCCATTCGTGGAAGTGTGCGATGACGGCCGTATGAAGCTGGCGCGAAACGTACTGTCGCGATCGTGAGCATCAGTATACATTCGGAAGACAGGCCGGGCCGCGATGGACTTACCTCGCCGAGGAACCATGCGACGAGATAACCAAAGATTATGGTTTCGTTAGTTTCTCCGTCGTTCGGAGGCGTAGGGATTCCAGCCAGATTCCAGAGGTCGCCCTTCCACTCGTCGAGCCGGTGGAACTGCGAGCCCGTGTCGAAGAGCAGAACGTGCGGGTTGCCCTCAATAAGCCAGCGGCCGTAGAGGAACTTGACGCCCTTGTTGCGCATGGACTCTAGTGCGGCCACGACGTGCGGGTCTTTCGGCTCCTCGGGCTCGACCTCCATCGGCGCGGTCTTGTACGAGAGCGGGCCGATGAGCGTGTACCGGTCGCCGTACTCTTGCACGGTCACGGGGACCTTCGTCTTGATGACAGTGTAGATACCGCCGACCTTGTTTGCGACCTCCCATGCCGCCTCGAAGAGCATGGGATTCCGGACGTCGCGCTTTTCTTCAGACATGATTACGAAAGTCGGGGAGAGGCGTCGCTAGGTATGATGAGGATATATCGTCTGCAGTCAAATATAGACCTTTGGGGGAGCCTCTGGCTAGCAGTGGGACGTGGTGGTGGTGCAGAGGCAAGAAGGTGGGATCGGCCGGCGGGGGATATTGGTTGAGTTTGCTCGAGAGCGCGGACGACGTCATACATCCCCGCGTTTGCCCTTGCGGTTCCGCGTCGAAGGCAGCTCTTCGCTCACGGCATGCAGTTGATTCCCCAGACTCTGTACGCTACTGCTTCCGCTGTTCGGTTCGCGATCTACGCTCTGGACGTCGTTCGCGACAGCGACGGAGCTCGAGCGCATTCTCAGGCCGGCCAGGGTAAAATCTGGGCCCGCCGCGCTCGTCCGCCGATGCTCGGTGCGATCATTCAGCGCGCTCGTGAGTGGCGCGCACTCCCCGACTCGTCCCGCTGCACCGCGCAGACCGTGCCTAACTTCCCCACACAAACGCTCCAGCGAATGCAAATAGGCAACTTCGCGGGGTTCCGCGCGCTTCTCAACGAACGTGAACTGTGATTCATTTGGGTAGAGATGCGATTAGATATCATAGTGTTGTAACTACGGGTATGGACTCGTAAGGTACGTGTGGGCATCCTTTTCGGCTCTTCGACCCTACGATGACTTGGTCGGGGTGGACTTGTTTGGAGGTGCAGTCTTCCCGCTCTTGGTCGGCGGACGCGGCTTGTCATCGTTCTTTTGGCTGACAAAGTAGCGGTGTGCTCCCCCGTGCTCAAAGACGTTCCACTTGCCGAATAAGAGACTGATCGAGGGGAGAGGGAAAACGAGTCAGCTGGGATCCACTACAGGAACGTCACCACTTACTCGAAGAGCGCCATGATCGTCCATTTACGGTTATCCGCCTCTGGGAACACGAGCGAACGGGGACCGTAAAAGACCTCATCATCGACCTCATGAGGCTTGCGCGGCAGGCAGTGCATGAATTTCCAGTCTGGGTTCGCCCCGCCCTCGCGGCACATCTCTTCTGTGACTTGATAACCGGCAAAGTCCGCGACGCGTTGAGCGTACTCGGCCTCTTGACCCATCGAGATCCAAGTGTCGGTGACAACGACGTCAGCGCCCTTCACAGCTTCACGAGGGTCGGTACCCCACCAGATCTTCTCGTCGCACTTGAGCTCTTTGACACGGTCCCATACAGCCGTCGGAGCGCGGTACATAGGCTTATCAGGTGACGCGACGCGCAAGGAATGACCCAAACGCGGGTACGTGACCAGCATATCGTGAAGTACGTTGGCAGAATCACCGACGTAGGCGATCGTTAATGGCGGAAGAGGATGAAGAGTTTGTAGATGCGGTAAAAGTTTCTGGCTTGGTTTTGTCGGCTCAAGCGACTTGTCGAAGAGATGAGCGTGCTCATGCAGAGTCAACAAGTCAGCCAGGATCTGCGTAGGGTGCCACAAAGATGAGAGGGCATTGAGCACCGGGACGGGCGAGTGCTCGGCCAGTTCCTTCGAATGTTGTCAATATACAATCATATCAGAGCCATATAAGCTAGCGCACCTCTATCTCAGAGTGGTCACCGACACGCGCAAAGATGCCCTGGCACATTCCGCCAATCACCCGCGCAGAGTCGCGCACTGATTCATTGACGCCGAGCTGAATATCCTCCTTGCCGAGGAAGAGGGCACGACCGCCGAGCAAAGTGGCAGCTGTCTCAGCCGCAAGTCGCGTGCGCGTACTACGCTTGGAGAATAAGAGGGCAATAGATTTGTTGAACAAGGACTGCGAGGGCATGCGTAGTTGCGTAGGCTTGTTCGCGAATTGTGGCGCCAACCATGGCTGGGAGATGAGCTTGAGGTGGTAGGAGTGGTGGAGGACGCGGTTGATCTGATTGGCGCTCAGGTCCGCGAGGGTCATGAGATGGGGAGGCATGGCTGGCGACTCAAGTGAAAAGAAAGCAAACGGCAAGTCGAGGACAGTCTGCCAGCAGTCAGAGTCAGAAGCAAGCTGGCGGTAAATTGACTTTGACGCGCGCGAAATATAAAGTCGCGTGGCCAGCGCGCTCGACGCGTTCTTCGACTTGACCGCGCTTGCGCCACATCACCTTCCATTCCTGCTCCGGACATCCATGTACAACCCACGCTAGACCTGTCTCCTTATCCGAACCACCATGCTCACCCTTAGGCGCCGGAGCCTATCCCGGATATTATTCTTCCTAGCTCTCGCTTTTGCTGTCAAAGTGCTATTCTTCTCCCCCGCGCCCCCTACCAACGAAATCCAGAAGCACAACGTGCTGGACTATGTCTCACGCGATGACCGACTAGACGTGCGACGGCACAAATTCTTGCAGAGTCGGATGGGCCGCGACGAACGACCGGACATTCTCTCGGATATCATCGAGAACGGCATAAATGACTATTGGGAACGGTTTCAGAAACCATTGTGCGTATCCGATGTCCTGCGTACGGAGAGCGCGTCTGATTTGCATAGTATTGCCGGAAAGGACACCGCCGTCATGGACGCGCAAAGCGTCATGACCTCCATCGAACAACTGCTATCCCTCAACGGATGGGTCGCCGCGCTCTGTCCTACACTCACGCGCCCGTTCGGCCAGAACACGCTCGACAGCGCGTACGACGAGCTCGCGCAGCAAGACAATCTATACTACATCGCCATTGTCATCCATTCTGCCGACCACTTCCTCGTCGATCAGCTCGCCGTCATCGTGCAGATGGCCAAGCGCCTCGGTCCGCAGAACCTCTTCGTGTCCATGCTTGACTACGACTCCTCCGACTCGACAGAGACGCTCACCGACCTTGCGGAAGCAGTACTCATCTTGCTTGGCATACCGTACCGTATTCGTCGCGTACCCGGCATGACCGTCGACCCTGCGGCTGCGTACTACCCGCTCGAGGAAGCACATATGCGCAATCTCGCGCTCGAACCGTTGCACGAGCTGTATACGCGTCGGAAAATCAAGTTCCACCGCGTTCTCTGGCTCAAGGGCTTCACTTGTCCGAACGACATCTTTGAGACCATCAAGGTCTCCCAGGCCAACGACGCGGCCATGGTCTGCGGTATGGACTGGGCAGAGCACAACGGCTTTTACATCTTCTCCGATAGGTACGTGCGATTATTCGCTTTATCAAGCAGGTTTGCTTACGGGCTACAGATGGAGAACACGCGATATCAACGGCGACCAGTTCCGCCAATCGAAATCCTCTTCTAACGCCGACGCCGTGCCCGTTCGTGATCGCACTGGCGCTCAGCGCTACGCCCAGCACCTTCCATTTCAGGTCTTCTGCTGCGAAGCTGGAACGCACGTTGTCGATCCCGCGCAAAGTTACTACGCCGGTGTCGCTTATCGCGCTGGTATGGACTACCACAACGCTACTGCGGCCAGCTCAACGGAGGCGCCTCCTGCACGATCCCCCGGCGCGCCATGCCTTGATAGTTCGCAGGCGTGGTTCTGTAGGGATCTGTGGCTGCTCAAAGCGAAGGAGGGTATGCAGGATATGGATGGCAGCGACGACGATGTGCGTAGGCGGAGGAAGCGCGCCGTCCCTTCCAAGCCCGAGCTCGTCATTGAGCGCAGGGACACCCCGAAAGAGTACCATGAAGTTCCTGCTCAAGAAAAGCGCGAGCCTGCCGCTGAAGGCGACAAGCGTGATATCGTGGATGCCGCCGTTGGCCGTAAAGATGCCCATCGGCAGGCCGCGGTCGTCGACCCAGATGCCAATGCTGGCTCAGACTACGACGCGATGGACGACGCGGACGAGGCAGAGGATGTCCCCGCACCGCCGCCCGTCAAGCTCAGCATCCCTAACAGTGCTTTCCGACCTGCGCGGATCGTCGTGAACCCGCGATGCGTGACGACCTATGCGGGTGTCAGTCATACGCAGCTCGCGCGCGATCTGTTCGGCGAGGACGATAAGGTCGCCGCGGGTGGTGCGGGGAAGTATGTGCTTGAGGACTGGGAGGGTGCACCGGAGAGTTTCGTGTGCCAGGAACAGCGACAGACGGGTGGAAGGAAGGCGACGAAGACACAGAGGAGGCTTGGATTTTCATTACATGATGAGCTAAGGGATACATAATATCCAGTGTATTACTGTCAAACGAGACAGTCAATTGTCCGGAGGCTCCTGATTATTTCGTCGGGCTGCTCAGACCGTGAAAATTTGTAGATAGCACTAGCGCAGACCCGTGCTCCGCACGGGCTTGCCGTTCACGGTTGCCCGTAAACGTACCCTGCACCCAGTATACTATCTGTGCCATACACTCAGCAGGTTTCTTTGCATTCGGTGACTTCTCTGCTCAATTCCATCATATTGCCCAAAGCCCTAGCTTGCCCGGAGCTCTATACCCAGTAGCATGCTCGGCACCCGGCACCTAATCTCTACTTTTCGCCGAGTCGTTCGCGTCGGGGTGTATCGTCAGTGCTTCAGCTGTTATCCAGCCTCCAGTCTGATACAGAACAGATTATAGCCAATTCTAAGTATCAGAGAGGTCGCGGTTTACCTTGCAGCGCTTGCCTTGCAGCGCCACCTGCCATACTCTGCACCCGGCTTCCGTGCAATCCTTACACCCAGGTAGCGGAGCTCTGCCTGTGGCTAGTAGCGCGCACTGGGTGACACACGTCGATTCGACGCGAACTGCTTGACGTCGACGCGTCGGACACGTTGATCTGCCGTTGCGTCGCGTCACTGACAACGCGTCGCGCGGCTAAGCTTGCGCGCTCAGCTCGTCGTCGATGGATTGAGTGCATCACGACACTTTTTGTGTCATGTTTTTGTGAGCGTGTCGTCCCATCCGTCCATGTCCGTCAGCCGTAGGGGTCGGCCAACCAGGTCGGCCCATACCGGTACACGAAGCCGACCTGGTCGGCCGTTTTCGGCAAATTCCGAGGTCTGAACC